TACATGATAGTTCTAGAAACGTTGCGTCACAGTAGTCACGTGACTCGCTGACGCAACCGTATGTATTGACAAAAAGTCATGATATAGCCAATCAAAAACACCTTCGATGAAGAGAAAAAAAGGTGCGGCCAGAAAAGGATTGAGCGTACGACTTAAAGGAGTGAAATCAAAATTAGCGACCAACCTGGTAGCTACACTTTTTGCATTGATTTAAATTTTTACCGCAAATATTCATTCATTTGTTAGCTAGACTACGTATTTCGTTTCACCCACCATCATGCCCCAATTTGAATAAAAACGCGGCCTGGCTAACTAATGAATTAATATTTGCTTTAAAATTCTCATCAATGCTATAAGTGTAACTACCAATTTGGACGCCAATTTCAATTTCATTCCGTTAAGTCGCACGCTCAATCCTTTTTTGGCCACACCTGTATTTCACACCTAAGGTGTTTTTGATCAGATAGAAATTTAAAATTGCTTTTACAACTCACTTTCTATCTAACAACTACATGGCTGCTCACATAAAACCCACAAACATCCAATGAAAAGTCAACAAATCATCATTCTATTGTAACAATACATGGGAAGCTAAACTAAAATTGCCCCCCCCCCCAGTGGCACAGCGGTATGTCTGCGGAGTTACAACGCTAGAAACAGAGTTTCGATACCCGTGGTGGGCAGAGCACAGATAGCCCTTTGTGTAGTTTTATGCTTAACTACAAACAAACAAACAATAAATTAGAATTAGCATTTATATGTATGTTTTATTATAGTAAAGTGCTGTACTCTCTACATGCAGAGTAGTTATTAATTGTTAAATTATATTACTAATTTATACAACTACGTACAACTAAAGCAGCAAAGCTACGTAGTACTGTACCTTGGTCGTCATGTGCCAATTCTTTTCTTTTGCTGGCAAAAACATTCATATATCACTGCAATCAGTTTCAGTGGGCGCTTCATACTGTTCAGTAAAAAGTGTGGAAGGTCTAGCATGTATATCATGTATAGTGTGTAGTCTCAAGAGCCAGACTCTTACTCTTATACGGGTAAATTTCAAACGGATTTAAGATTAATGCAATTCTCAGCTCCTTCCTTGTAAGAAAATATGAATCTACAAAAACGTTTAAATCTCAAACCCATAATCACTTTGTAGTTCTATTTCCGTGACATGACGAAGCTTGTTTGTGCTGAAAATCACTGTTAGATATACACGACTGTTTCAGGTTATATTTAATGGGAGCCTTATCATTTGGATAGTTTATATAGGCGAGGTGTCATATTTAGTTATTTTTAGAAGCCAAAGTTTATGGCAAGTTTGTTAATGTAATTGTTTACGAATCATACGTTGTGTAGGGTGTATGTTCAATTTTTATGAGTTAGCGATTGTTATACCGTTGCATCATGTTACTAGAACTTTCTAAATTTTGTTGTTGTTTTAATTGAGTATTATTGCACCAGAGTATCTAGTATTGCGTGGAACGTTCTAGAGTTTTGTCCAGATATAAATATGCGTCGAAAGATTATCGTGATTGTGTGATTGTGAGTTTCGCTATAAATAATGTATAGTGGCGATTTTTAAAGTGAAATTATCACAGACTGTATTATAATAACAAAGAAGAGAAGAAGAATTCGCATTTTCAATTTTTAAAGTAATTGAACCAAACTGTGTGGATGTCGACAAAAAAGATGCAATTATTTAAACCTTTGGATACAATTGCGATAACCAATAGTGTAACTAACATTTGTATATACGTTAGACCTGTTTTAATACATTATTTAAAAACAAGTGAACTGTATTTCTGTTTGGTTATTGTTGAAATTTATCGCCAACAAGTCACATACACCTAATGTAAAGAATCCGGCCTACTAAACCTGACAGTAGCAATACAGCTTCGGACTTCTAATTACAAAGTGTCAACAGAAGCCTTTGTATTAGACTATTTCAAGCCAAAAAATACTAATGCTTCACAGAAGAATGTAGACTATGTATAAAACGTTACATACCATAAGCAGCTGTGTTATAACTATGTAATTTTTTTTTTACATCACAAAAATAGGGGGTTTGGTCCAATTGGATATCACATCTTGTCGTGAATATTACAGCATTAAAGCATCCATTAAAGTAAGCTTTGGGGATCACAATGCTCATTATTCACTCCACCTCAAGTGCATATCAACTGTGAGAGCAACACCATCTGTTCTTCAAGTTCTACGGTATTTCAGCATTGGTCATGTCTCTAGAGCTCCAGAGAAGTCGGCATGGTGATTCCTTATTTTATATGTGTTGTCTGTATCTATGTTGTGACAAGCCATTGGTGTTTGACTCAATGGGCTATCTGGTCTCACAAATACTTCAGCATATTCAACAAAACTGTCACTGAGTTGCTTTTGCTGTATTGGGTCTAGATGGTTTGCACAATCCTCAATCAAGTTCTGGTATGATGGTAATTTTATACTAGCTGTTGGCCACAGTGTATTGGAGGAAGCCCTAACGTTATCACTAGTCTTGGTTTCTTCTATTTTGCTTACCACACTTATAACCATCCCAGAGTAAAGATGTATAGCCAATTGCCTATAATTACAAAATGGCACTGGTATTTCATCCCTTCACAGACAGATAACTATCTAAGCTAGTGTTGCTCACTTTCTAAACAGGAAACAGTTCATTTTATGCATGACTTTTGTAACTGTGTTACACACTACTGACACATCAAACTTTGTCTGCAGTAAAACATGGAACATCACATGTGTACAAGAAGATACTGTTATTCCCTCCTCTACATATGCAAGTGCAGTCCACTAATCTTGGACTAAATCTGGCTTATATCAACTAACTCTGCTTCAGAACATCAGTTCACCAGTTACAAAGCAAAAACTGATGGGTGAAAATCTACCTCTCCAATTATGTCTAGTCTATCATCATTTCCCACAACAAAGTTAGTATCCATTGGGCAGAATGGTGGTTTTGTTTAGATAGCTTGTTATACTGTAAGATCTTCAAGTGTTGTAGCTCCTTCTATGTCATCTGGTCTAACTCTAGCCCTTATACCTTCACAGGTATGTACCACGCTCCATCCAGCCCTGAACGAGATAGATTGACCACCAAACCCATCAGTGCAA